GTCTATTACTTCAGGAAAAAAAGACTTGCTTAATAGTAGAAAAGTCCTATTTTTGTAGTTGGTACTTCATTTTTGCAAATGATGTGAGTATCTGGAATCCAGTGTTGGTTATCCAATGGTGGCCAGTTAAACAACATCGCAGACTTATTTGGAAACATAAGTTTGACAAGTACATCTTTTTCTTTTAGATTCATGTCTTCAATGGCTCCTATGAAACAATTCGACTCATAGAAAACACAAGCATAATCACCTGGTACTAAGTTTACAGTTTTTACTTGGATATTTACAAAGTCATGAGGTTAATGCAAATTCCTCATCAACACTGCATAGCTTTGTGCCTATCTAGGTAAAAAAGCAACATGCATTTATTCCGCTGTCTTACTTGTTTTATTGAAGGTATTAAAAGGAAGTTGTTAATTCAAAATAAATTAAAAATATTTTTTTACAATAGTTCCATCTATTTGAATTTATCAATAAAAGTTGTGGATTTTTTTGCAAAGTAATAAAAGTTGTATTAAATACATATTTTTTATACCTTTAGATGGTCAAGTGGTACAAACTAATGATAACTAAATGTTTCAGATATGGTTTTTGCAGTATCCAATTGTTCTTTAAGGATGTTTCTCACAAAAGTGAAATCTTCTGATGATATATAAATGAAATATACCCTTTCAATGTTTTCATTGCAGTATTTGTACATTGCTTGTGGTGACAAAGTATGATTACCCATTTCTCTTTGCAAGCTTGGTAGTGTTGCTAAACTTTGGACTGTACCACCTATCCAATCACAAGGATGCTTTCCTGATTATTTGCAAAAAGGTTCAATTTAGCAGAAAGACTGCTGATAACTTATTGTCCACTGATCAAATTATACCTCATCATCCTTTTCAAATTCTCCAATTAAATCATAAAGTTTTTCAACTAATGCATTCATATTTTTTTGGCATCATTCACATTTTTGCATTATACAGTCTTTATTAGTCATGTCACAGACAAAATATGATAAAGTTTGTATGTCACATCATGAAGGATGTAAAAGCAGTTTTAAATTCTGATGAATAGTACCACAATCCGATTTAGCATGCAGAATTTATTCTAAAGCACCAACAATAATACACCATATTGTTTTTTTATTATTTTTTAATTATTGATCGACTCATAGAATATTACCTTTTTTAGTTTTTATCAAATATCTTTTTTATTTTACAACATAAAAAAATAAAAAATATTACCATTAGATTCAGAATAAAAAACTCTGCTAAACCGTATTTTTATAAATTCTAAAACAAGTTTATTATTTAAAAGTTAGAAAGTTATAAATAAGTAAATATGGTTTTTTCTAACTGATGCCCTTTTACCCTTACAAAAATGTCATTATACCAAAATATTTTTTACATATTCTGATAGATGTAGTTCTTACTCTAAATTGATCTGCTTTTACGTTATGATATTTTTGAAAACGTTTTGTTTAAATAAAATTTAAGTATAAGTGACCGACTTAGAATACACTAACTTACCATATACATCTAATCTTTAAGATAAATCAAAACCAATAATTTTTTTTATCAGTCAAATTTTTTTCTAGAGCTATTGTTATAAATCTCTTATTTTATTGGCATTAGTAATTACGTTTTGTGGATCTTAAAATAAACTATATTCTATTGTTTTGAGAGATACAAGACTATAGTTTATAGATTCTGCCAGTTTTAAACTTCTTTGGTACCGAATTTTAGCATTGCAGCATTACTGAAAATAATAAGAAGTGAAAATTTTTTTAGTACGTTAACCCCCTCATTATTCCTTCAAAATTAAACAAACTTGTTGGCAAACAAGTTGCTGTAAATCTTAAAAACATTGAATACTTTTAAATAAAATGTACAGTCTTTCTTTATATATTTTAACGTTTGTGCTGAATTTCAGCAAATTTGGGTGAAAACCCTTCTTTTTTGGAATTTATTTGTATTATTATTACCTTATTTTTCAAAATACTTTTTACTCTATAACCTTGTCACTAAAATTCTTTAAATAAATCAAAAGTATTAAGTTCTATTCTTAAATAAATCAAAAGTTCTATTCTTTAAAAATCTTAATCTCTTTAATAAAAGAAGTGAAATAATATCTAGGTGCAGGTACGAAATATCTAGGTGCGTGTACGAAAACAAGTTCCTTTTAGCTCAATTCTCTGATTTTACACACCTTGGAGTTTTCTGTGATTGTTGCGGGGTCTACACTACTACTTCTTTTTTTTCTTTTTTTTTTTTTTTTTTTTGTTTGAACTCAATCTGATGTTGTTTTTCTATTTTTTTTATGATTTAAAATAAAAGTTTTTTATAATTTAAAATATATATGTTTGATGATTGATCAAGGCATAAACTTTGACAAAACCATGGAAACATAAACCATAAAAACCAAGGTAAACAGATAATTGGCACTAAACACTTGTCTTGTAAAATAATTTTGTTTTCTTAAAATTTTATTTTAAAAAATGTTTAAATAACATAGTTATGGTTAGTGTTAAAAATGGCTTAGTTTTCAATTTAATAATAAAATTAATGCAAATGTTGCCGTGTCTACTCTATAAATTATACATGTTATACTTGTCTAACGCACCAATAGAAGTGCAAAAACAAGAAAGTGAGCCACGCGACTTTGTAAATTGTCATTTTGTCTTGAATTAGAAATCCATTTCTGATTTTTTTTTTGTTTTTTTTGTTTTTTTTGTTTTTATACAACTTTTTCTAGTTTTTTATGTTTTTGTTTACATATAAAACGTAATGACACAGCAAGTAATGTAAAAACTAAAAAAAAGTGAAAAACCATTATCTCCTGAAACATATAAAAAAACTCTTTCAAGATCAAGAATTATCTCTTGAAGCAATAATTAGCTAATAAAATTGATTTACAGAGTTTATATAAATCGTTTAAAACAATATTTACATTTACTTTTACTACCATTTACATATCGGTTCTGTAATTTTTTATTTGAATAAAAACTCTAATCTCCTGTCCTCTTTGGATGGTAAAATTTCAATAACTCTTTTTTTTGATGAAAAGACATTAAGGCTAGTTTATTTAATCTATTTACTGACATAGTACTCCGAGTGTAAGTTTTTATTCTTCTAAGAGTATGTTGACTTTTCGCACTCACACGTTGTAATTGGTATTGTAGCAAATATACGAAAAACCTCTAAATTGTTAGGAAATCCTCTTATATCCATAAACTTTATTGTGTCAGAAATATAAGATGGTAAATCCGGCTTCCTTTTTTAAAGTTCCTCCCATTCAACTCTTATTCAGCCTCTCCCATTCAACTCTTATTCAGCCTCTCCCATTCAACTCTTATTCAGCCTCTCCCATTCAACTCTTATTCAGCATGCCCTGATGAGAAATAAGAAAGATCTGATTCAAAAAAATTAAAACCCTTACATGATCTAAAAAATAGCTTCACTTAAATAGGAATATGCAAGTCCATCATAAATTCATCAATAAGTCATCATTTTTTTTTCTTCTGAAGAATCTTTATTGATGAAACGCTGTACAAAATAAAAAAATTATTAAGTGATTTTCTACTAATTTATTATTTGCTTTATAAGTAATAAGTAATTTTTTTTTATTAATACATTAAAAGTAGTTACGTAAAAAGTTATACGTGTATAGTGTATAGTAATAAGTGTATAACTACTTTATACCCAGTAAGCACAAGACGCATTTTAGACACTTATAGACGACTAAAACTAGTCTAGGTAAAGACGCACTTTTGTAGACGTTTTGAAGACATCTTTTAGACGTCTTTTATGAATGCGTTTTTAAAATGACGTTCAAAAGGCGTCTTTTTAAAAGATAAAAAGACGTCTAGAAGACATCTATTTTTAAGACATCTTCTAGACTTTTATAAAGGCGTTTTTAAAATGACATCTTTTTAAAGTTTAAAAAGACGTTTAAAAGACGCATAATAAATAGTCTAAAAGACGCATTAAAAGACGTCTAGATCAAGGCTTAAAAGACGTCTTTTCTGAGACCTGTTTATAAATATGTCATTATGACTTCTTTTTGACGGCTTTGTCATTACGCGTTAAGTAGATGTCGTATATTCAAAGTAAAAACATAGTTTTTATTATTTTCAATAATTTGTTCAAGTTTTAAGTGTAAATTACTTTAAATTAAATTACTTTTTTACACAATTGCTAAAATTGTTGTCACAGGAATCACTAAAATAATTGCTATAATATTAATATATCTTTTTTTTATTAATAATTATTTTGCTTTTTTAATAGATAGTTGACTGATCATGATAATAAGTGAAAATGGCAAGAATAATATATAAAATAAATATCAGTATTTTTAGTTTTTATACACCCACAAGCCATATAATAAGTCAAGTATGCTGTCAAAAATTAGCTAACAATACATAAGTTAGATTTTATAATAACTAAAGATAAGTTATAAATGTTTAAAATACTGTTTTGATATATAATTGTTATTGTTATTTATTATTTTCATCTTTGCATCATCAACCGTTGTTGGTGATAGCTATATTATTTAGATTGCTGGTTCCTATGTATATTTTGTATATACGAAATTATAACAATATTTGACGTATAAATACAATGAATGTATACCACATACTACGCGAAAATGTTACGCCATGTACTTAAATTCATCCTAAAATAAACGTCTAAAATACGTCTAAAACGCGTTTTTATAAAAACGTCTTTATTTGGACGTCTTTTAGCCTTATGATCTAGACGTCTACAAGTGCGCATTTTAGACCTCCTTAAAGACATCCTTAAAACGTCTTTTGAACGTCTTTGTGCTTACTGGGTAATAGCTAAGGAAAATAAAGTTGTTGTATCTATTTAAATTGTTTTAAACATATTAGAATAATTTTTTGTTAATTATAATAGGAAAGCACAAACTTAAAACTTTTTACTCGATATTTATTAAACACTGTAAAACATAGATTTAATAATAGACGGTCTGTATAATCTCTCTCTCTTTAGGGTTTAACAAAGAAAACCAAAGATATTATCGATAGTTTGAAAAACATGGACTCAGAAAATCAGACCAATCCTGGTGTTTCAATGGATTTACTAAAGTCAAAAAATTTGAGTAAAGCAATGCAAGCTTTTTTATTTAATCTTGCATCGGCGGAAGGTTTAGTGAAAATAATTTCATAATACACATTTGATAGTGTATTATTAAATTGACTTAAATGACTTTTTTTTAAATTATTTTTATAAATAATTTCGAATTATTTATTTTTTAATTTCTTTTCTTTTTCTTTTTATTAACTTTTAATTTACTTTTTTAAAGAATTTTTCTTTTAATCTTTAATATAATTTAATTGATAAGTATTATTACAATTATAAGTATAATATATAATAAAAATATTATTGCGATATTTATTGATATATGCAAATGCTAATCTGTTTATTTTTGTACTCAAGATCAACTTTTTTAAGAACTTTCTCAACAATATAGTAAAAATATTTTTTATATCAGTATTAATATGAGAAAGAAAAATAATCTAGTTTTAAACTGAAAATAAGGATTAACACTACCTGCGTTCTTTAGAAGAGCAGTTAAATTTTGTAATTAACTTTTTAAAGATCTTATTATATTTAAAATTTACTTGGATAAACTTTGAGAAAACAAACGCGTTAGGCAAAACTAACAGCACGTTTCCGTGTCGTACCGTTTCTTTTTTAGAGATAAAATGTGATGCAATATGTATTTTAGTTGCCTAAAAAGAAAGATCTTTGCAATCAGTGCTAATTCACTGTACACTTCTTTTTAGATCTTTATCTGGCGCACTGTCCATTAGGGTGGAACGATAAGCAATAGTAGGAGATAATTAATGAAAAAATTTCTCATTAAAAACCATTGCAAAAAGTTTATGGTCCAATACCTAGGCTTAGTTTTTTATATGAAAAAAAAAGAATCAAATTTTAAATTTACAAAATCTTCACATTCTAGACATTTAAGAAGCATAACTACGTTTTAAGGTAAAATAAATCTCATAATAAAGTTAAAGTCTTCATTTATATTTAAAAAAATCCTGTAGAACTTCTTTGTTCGATAACTTATTGAAGGAGGATAAGCTTGGAATATTTTCAATTGAACTTCAGTCTAGAAGTATAGAAGTGGTTTTTTTAAAAATGTAAACCCTTATATAATTGTTTTCATGAAATTTTGATTTTACATTTGGTAAAGCTTTTTTAAAGATATTTTTCTTTTTGATCCATCCATAGGACTTTCATTTAAATAAGATATTAAAAAAAACTAAGGTATAGAGTCACAAATAACTCTGACAAGAACATAAAGTAGTATTATTAGCTGTCTTGTGTGTATTGAACGCGCATTAATCAAATCAATAAACAAGAACAAGGTGAATAACAATACTTTGTTTTATACAGTCAGTATTAAGGTGTTTTTATTGTATTTATTTATTTTTGTTCTTATTACAATATATTGTGGTATAAATATCGTAGTACATTAAATATCAGAACACGGAGACTCAAAGAGGGTCGTAATATCCTGTCACTGAGAACCGGTTTAACAATGCAGTAAAAATATAACCAGATAAATAATTGAACCCGTCATTTCGAAAAGGGCACAAGTCCATTTATCCAAACTTTTCAGGATCAACAAAAATAAGTTTATAATAAAAAAAGTCTATGGTGCTAAAGAAAATTAAGATAAGAGTAGATAAATAAAAGCCATACATAAGTTTTTAGAGTTTTATTTGTTATAAAAAATAATATATAACACATATATTTCTAATTTAAATTTATGGACTTATGTCTTTTTCGGAATGAACGCTTTTTTGTATATAAAAAACCAAAGATTATCAGAATAATAATGATTTATTATAACATTAAAAAAATTATTGTTAGGTAATCATCACTTATTTTTTGGAATTCATTGTTTGCCGAAGTTGTTGGCGAAGCAAAAACCTTTGTATAGAAGTTTTGGTACTCTTCTATTGAATATGGAATATATTTTTTCATATTTTTTTCAAATCTGACATATTTTTATTGATAGGCAATTTTCCAACATATGCAGGAGTACTACTTAATGGTAAGGTTGACCGGGTACCCATCTTTTGTAATAGCTGGAAATTATAACTGACTAAGCAATCCATGGATTCACGTGTTTTCACTAAACCTGGTGTGGTATTAAAGAATGTGAAATGTGAGATTTTAGAAATAACAAAAGTTTTTTGTCCTTGGGTACTCCTTTTCCATAGGAATCCACAGATAGCACAAGTTTCTTATAATGGTTTGGCCACCATTTTTTTACATCAATAATATCTTCAGTTCTGGGCCTTCTAATTTCAAATTTTTCGCTTGCTTCAGCTAAAAGATTTTCATACTCTGTTGGTGTGTAAATCCGATCATTTTTTTGAATGTCGCTTTGCTGTTCCAAACATTCTATCGTTTAACAAGAATGAGTGACCTCTTTTTGGTATGTAATATTGTATCTCATTTATATTGCTATCTAGTTCAGCTACCAGTGATAAAAGTATTCGGACTGTGGCATGATTTCTGTTTTGGCCTGCACAACCATCAGAAAATTTAGGTGCAGTTCTTTGGCTTCGCTGCCAATATTTTTTAAAATATAATCCAGCACAAAGGTACATACTTCGTTTGGATATGCTCATGTACTTTTGTTAATGTATATCCAGGTAATGCGTTGCATCGTGATCACTGAGATTTACCTTTTTGTAAACGTCTAACTTGTTTCATAGAAATTCCATGCATACAGCAAAAAGCTTTCTTACGTACTTTTCTTATCACACCTTCAATCTTAATATGATAAATAAAAAAAAAATCTTTTTTCTTATGTTCTTTAGATCTAAACCATCTTCTCTCTATTTCCTTCTTTTCAATCAATGACTGCAAGTATGTGTCTTGGGCATTTTTACAATCAAATTTGTTAACAAACTGAATTGTACTTTCTATAAAATCTTCAGATACAAGCTCAAAAAACTTTGAATTACATCTGTAAATAAATAGAATTATTGAGGTAATATTATAATAATTATAAGATTTTTTTCCTCCAATTATTGGTGGTAAAACATGAGTAAATAAGCATAAATTTGAGAACGAATATAGTCATACTCTAAAGAACAAAAAACTAACCTGCAAGAAGCACCCTATTGACTTGGTGCCACATCATTTCCTATGTGGTTTTTGTAAGCTTCTCCGGCAATTTTGGCTTTTTTTATATTTTCGTGTTTATAATTTCCACTGTTTCTTATACCTGACACTCTTTTTCTAGATCTATATGCATTTTCAGCAAGTTCGCGATTTTCCATTTTTTGTTACAAATAAAGTGAAATTACGTCACTAGAGTTGCGCTTCGTTTCACTTGAAAAAGGCATAAGTCCGGGACTTGTGCCATTTTCAAACAGACTTTAATTTTCATTTGCATTTAAAGTTGACTTGTGGCATATGAAAATGTTTCTCCTTCAAAGGGAATATGTAAAACACTTGAATAAATAAAATTGCATTAAAAAGTGAAATTTGAAAAAAGTGTGACTTGTGCCCCTTTTGAAATGACGGGTTCAATTACAATAATTGACGTTTAGAAATAAAATTTAAATTTAACCAGATATTTCAAAACATAAAATAACGTTTAACAACATAAAGAGTATATATAAAACTTCAAAATAAAACAATATATTCAGGAGTCACAAACATTTTTAAAAGTTATAAACTCAAAGATATTATCAATTGACAAGATAACTTTTTTCAGTTTAATTTTAAAAGTAAGAAAACTCCAACTTTAAGAAAAATTAAAACTATTTGTTCCACAGAAGAGCTCGGCGATATGTTAAAAGAGATCTTCCAAAACTTGTATGACTTTATATTTTTTTGCAATCCAAAAAAAATTTTGGAATCTACTATGAATTTATTGATATAAAAATAAATTTTTAAAAAAATGGTTTTTTTAATTTTAATTACTGTACTACCCCCTTAAGACTTGGCTAATGATGGACTATCCTATAGGAAGTTTTAATGATTTAAGAGAGTAGTGTTGCCAACACATGAAGACCTTAAATAAGATACATCATCAAAGAAACCAAGTGTAAGTGAAGTATCTGATATTTTAACTCAGAAAATTGAAAGTAAATGGTTAAAAGCAAAAACAATGTAGTTGTTGAAAGTCTAAACATTTACAGGCAATCCTGCAATACAGAAAGCGCTGTATTGCAGGACTTGGGTTTAATAAATAAAGATGACAAAAGTAAAGTAATTGACTGATTGAAAATTAAACAAGGAAGGTCTAAGAACCGGGAAAAATGCATTCAAGACAGTCAGGACCTGAGCACCGAAACTACAGGATTGTATTTTGATGGAAGAAAAGATAAGACAATTATTCAAGAAAAGAAAAGAACTAAATTTTACAAAATTATTTCTACAGAAGAGCATATTTCGCTAATAGAAAAACCAAACTCAAAGTTTATAGGCCACGCAACACCATTGTCTGGTACTGGTACACATATAAATATATATATTGTAAAAACTCAATTATGCAGACAGCATAATTGAGTTTTTACAAGATTACGAACATAAAGAACAACTTGTCACATTTACCGCGATTGGATGAGATGGAACCGTTGTAAACACTGGAGTCAAAAATGGTGTGATTTTGCTGTTGGAAAACAAAATAAGAAGATCACTGCAATGGTTAGTTTGCTCATTCCATGAAATTGAACTGCCTTTACGCCACCTTTTTTATTCTTTAGATGGTAAAACTATGGGTTCTAAAGAGTTTAAGGGGGAATTATAGGTTAGAAACTGCAAAACTGTCTTAAGTTGCCTGTAGTTTCTTTTTTACCAATTAAAAATAACCTTCCCTTATTAGAAAATGTAAGTGATACAGATCAAAAGTACTTAATGAAAATGTGTATTGCTGTGACTAGTGGAAACTGCTGTTTAGATTTATCATTAAAAGCCCCTGGAAAACTATCTAACTCTAGAGGGCTTACTTTAGCAAATCGAATACTTCTATTCTATGTGGCAACTGAAAATTCTACTAACAATCTTGAAATTCTGGCTGAGTTTATTGAAAAAGTGTATGCACCCGTCTGGTTTAACATTAAGTTAAAACCTTCATGTTTGAATGGTTCTGAACATCTCTATAGGATTATTTCTTACTCACATTATCTAACTACTAATCTAAAAAATAATAGATCCATGGATAAATGGATACTTTTCTGCTCCGAAAAATATTCTATTGTCTAAGCTATGTGATGACCGCAAACATATAAAAGAGCTTGGTTTGCGTAGACTTTTAAAGGCAAGAAAAGAGAGTAGAGGTATTATTAGAAAATTTATTATTCAAAAAATAAACTTTGACGCTTATGATTACATTTATATGATCCCATTGTACGACATTAAAGTCACAGAGACCCCAATAACAAAGCAAATTTCCAATAATTCGCTTAATCAATTCATTGAGGAAATATCAGAATCAACTGTTGTTGAGAACCCATTGATTGGATTTCCTTGATTTCCATGTCACACATAAGCAGTGGAAAAAGCGGTAAAACTATTTACTGAGTTATTTTTGTCTGTCTGTTCATTTTCAAGATAAGGAATCTCAGAAGAATATGAGAAATTTTAATTCAAAAAAACATTTCAATGTGCCAACGCAGTGAAAAATAAACATTTACAAATGTTGGAAACCTTTTAATCTTGTCAAGTATTGTAAGTGTTTTAAATTTATTGATCTCATTAGAATGAATTTTTAGTTTACATGTACGAGATAATAAAACATTTATTAATTACCTTGTTTGGTTTTATTTCATTTAAATTCCTGTAACATGTGCTAACAAAGTATAATATATTGGTAAAAAATATGAAAAATACAAAAATATTCCCTAAAAACTGTTTTTGGTGAGAAACGTTTGATTACATCATTTCACAGGAGGTGTATTTGTACAAAACATCAAAAAATTATAAACAACTAAGTTTTGAATTTTAATTCAATTTTTAAAAAGTTTCAATTTTTCAGGCACTTTGCGAGGTAGCAGGAAAAAATCCCCCATGAAAAAATTTATGACAAAAGTAATAATAAAAAAACTGTACAATTCTTAATTATCTATTTTAAATCTTTATTTAAAATAAACTTTTATTTTTTAAATGTAAAACTTGTGCGGAGTGATTTTCTACATCGACTATTAAAGCGAGTTTCCACTCATCCGTTTTTCAACGGGAACGGGATAGGAAGTAAAAAAATAATCACGTGAGCATGCGTAATAAGAGTTTTTATTTGTCCGAAAGAAAACTGCGCATGCTCACGTGATCATTTTTTCCTTTCCCGTAGAAAAACGGATGAGTTTCCACTCACCTTTAAGGCAAGTTTCCACTCATTCATTTTTTCACGGGAACAGGAAAGGGACGGGAAAAATAATCACGTGGGTATGCGGAGTATAAGTTTTAATATGTCCGAAGAAAACTACGCATGAT